TTCTGAACTAAGAACAGATATAGCCCTGGTTCACCCCATACTTGACTGACCTTGACCAGCACAAAAACATCCTGTGGCGTACTGCATTAGCATCGAACAGCCCCCGCGATATGCAACTTTTCAGGGAAGTCAGGAACCAATATACACAAGCAGTTAGGAAAGCAAAGGCTAGCTTTTTCAAACAGAAATTTGCATCCTGTAGCACTAACTCAAAAAAGAGCACCTCCTCCCAGCTACCCACTGCACTGAGGCTAGGAAACACTGTCACCACCGATAAATCCACGATAATCGAGAATTTCAATAAGCATTTTGCTACGGCTGGCCATGCTTTCCACCTGGCTACCCCTACCCCGGCCACCAGCTCTGCACCCTCCGCTGCAACTTGCCCATGCCCCCCCCCCCCCCCCCCCCACTTCTCCTTCACCCAAATTCAGATAGCTGATGTCCTGAAAGAGCTGCTAAATCTGGCCGGAATTGTCGCAACACCTATTACTAGCCTGTTCAACCTCTCTTTCATATCGTCTGAGATCCCCAGAGATTGGAAAGCTGCCGCGGTCATCCCCCTCTTCAAAGGGGGTGACACTCTAGATCCAAACTGTTACAGACCTTTATCCATCCTGCCCTGCCTTTTGAATGTATTTGAAAGCCAAGTTAACAAACAGATCACCGACCATTTCGAATCCCAGCGTACCTTCTCCGCTATGCAATCTGGTTTCCGAGCTGGTCATGGGTGCACCTCAGCCACGCTCAAGGTCCTAAACAATATAATAACCGCGATCAATAAAAGACAGTACTGTGCAGCTGGCTTCATCGACCTGGCCAAGGCTTTTGACTCTGTCAATCACCGCATTCTTATTGGCAGACTAAATACCCTTGGTTTTTCAAATGACTGCCTCGCCTGGTTCACCAACTACATCTCAGATAGAGTTCAATGTGTCAAATCGGAGGGTCTGTTATCTGGAACTCTGGCAGTCTCCATGGGGGTGCCACAGGGTTAATTTCTCGGGCCGACTCTATTCTCTGTCTATATCAATGATGTCGCTCTTGCTGCTGGTGACTCTCAGATCCACCTCTATGCAGACGACACCATTTTGTATACATCTGGCCCTTCATTGGACAATGTGTAAACAAACCTCCAATAGAGCTTCAATGCCATACAACACTCCTTCCGTGGCCTCCAACTGCTCTTAAACGCTAGTAAAACTAAATGCATACTCTTCAATCGAACGCTGCTTGCACCCGCCCACCCGACTAGAATCACTACTCTCGGCGGGTTTGACTTAGAATATGTGGACAACTACAAATACCTAGGTGTCTGGTTAGACCGTAAACTCTCCTTCCAGACTCACATTAAGCATCTCCAATCCAAAGTTAAATCTAGAATCAGCTTCCTATTTCGCAACAAAGCCTCCTTCACTCATGCTGCTAAAAATGCCCTCGTAAAACGGACTATCCTACCGATCCTTAACTTCGGCGATGTCATTTACAAAATAGCTTCCAACACTCTACTCAGCAAATTGGATGTAGTCTATCACAGTGCCATCCGTTTTGTCACCAAAGCCCCATATACTACCCACCATTGTGACCTGTACGCTCTCGTTGGCTGGCCCTCACTACATATTCGTCGCCAAACCCACTGGCTCCAGGTCATTTATAAATCACTTCTAGGCAAATCCCCGCCTTATCTTAGATCATTGGTCACCATAGCAACACCCACCCGTAGTATGCGTTCCAGCAGGTATATCTCACTGGTCATCCCCAAAGCCAACACCACCTTTGACCGCCATTCCTTCCAGTTCTCTGCTGCAAATGACTGGAATGAACTGCAAAAATCTCTGAAACTGGAGACACTTATCTCCCTCACTAACTTTAAGCTTCAGTTGTCAGAGCAGCTTACCAATCACTGCACCTGTACACAGCCCATCTGTAATTAGCCCACCCAACTACCTCATCCCCATATTGTTATTTACATTGTTATTTATTTTGCTAATTTGCACCCCAGTATCTCTATTTGCACATCATCTTCTGCACATCTATCACTCCAGTGTTAATACTAAATTGTAATTATTTTGCACTATGGCCTATTTATTGCCTTACCTCCATAACTTACTACATTTGCACACACTGTATATAGATTTTCTATTGTGTTATTGACTGTATGTTTTGTTTTATCCCATGTGTAACTCTGTGTTGTTGTTGTTTTTATCACACTGCTTTGCTTTATCTTGGCCAGGTCACAGTTGTAAATGAGAACTTGTTCTCAACTGGCTTACCTGGTTAAATAAAGGTGAAATAAAAAAAATCTTTAGCATTGTTTTATGTATTTGGTGATACACCTTAGCAGGCATTGCTGAGTATACTTCTCATTCCTCTAACATTAACTGGTGGTAGAGCTGTAAGCATTTTAGAGTGATGCATTAGGCTCTGTCATTAAAAGTGGTGCACATGACCTTGTTGCTGGTGGGAATGACTCGTCTCATTATTGAACGTCAATTTGCCCAACGGTTTTGATATCCATTCATAATGATCAATTATACCTCATAGCACAACCAACTGCTTAAAACTATTTTACAAATATACTTTTATTTCTTCAAACATACATTGTGTAAAAGTATCAGAAAGTAAAAACATTTTGAATTACACAAAATCTTCTAAAAACAGAGCCACGTGGGATGATTAAGTATTCGTAACTTGCTAAAAAATATATAATTCTATATCAGCACAACAAAATCCAGTGTTTTTCACCCAAATATCAATGTGTACGACTACTACTTTATTATTTTAAGTAAAGACGTAAAACATAATAGAATCAAGTAAGAACAACTTATTTAATAAATGCGACATTGACTTTAAAATATTAAATAATCATAACTTGTAAAAACTCAATAACTTTAGATTAGTAGAACACAAATAAAGTTATATTTACTCAATAACCTAATATTTGTTAACAGTACTCAAAAACATTAAGTAATAAGAAATGTTATTGACGTAGTACCACTTTTATGATTTGAGTTCTACTGACATTTGTAGATGTTTGAGTAACACTACTCAATTTCTTTAATGAGTTAGGCAGTGACTTTTTACAGTGTACTAACAGGAGTGGAACAAGTCAAATACAACATCTTGGAAATGTCATGCCTTATCAAAGGATGTGGTCTGCATTATATGGAAATATTTGTATGGAAGGCAGGAGGTCCAATTCTAATATATATATTACAGCCTTATTTTGAAATGGATTAAATTCATATTTTCCTCATCAATCTACAAACAATACCCCATAATGACAAAGTGAAAACAGGTTATTAGATTTTTTTGTAAATGTATTAAAAATAGAAAACAGAAATACCTTATTTACATAAGTATTCAGACCCTTTGCTATGAGCCTCAAAATTGAGCTCAGGTGCATCCTGTTTCCAATGATCATCCTTGAGATGTTTCTACAACTTGATTGGAGTCCACCCGTGGTAAATTCAATTGATTGGACATGATTTGGAAAGGCACACACCTGTCTATATAAGGTCCCACAGTTGACAGTGCATGTCAGAGAAAAAACCAAGCATGAGGTCGAAGGAATTGGCCGTAGAGCTTTGAGACAGGACTGTGTTGAGGCACAGATCTGGGGAAGGGTACCAAAATATGTCTGCAGCATTGAAGGTCCCCACGAACACAGTGGCTCCATAATTCTAAAATAGAATAAGTTTGGAACCACCAAGACTCTTCATAGAGCTTGCCGCCAGGCCAAACTGAGCAATCGGGGGAGAAGGGCCTTGGTCAGGGAGGTGACCATGAACCGATGGTCACTCTGACAGAGATGGGAGAACCTTCCAGAAGGACAGCCATCTCTGCAGCACTCTACCAATCATGCCTTTATGGTAGAGTGGTCAGACGGAAGCCACTCCTCGGTAAAAGGCACATGACAGACCCGCTTGGAGTTTGTCAAAAGGCACCTAAAGGACTCTCAGACCATGAGAAAGAAGATTATCTGGTCTGATGGAACCAAGATTGAACTCTTTGGCCTGAATGCCAATCGTCACATCTGGAGGAAACCTGGCACCATCTTTACAGTGAAGCATGGCGCTGGCAGCATCATGCTGTAGGGATGTTTTTCAGCGGCAGGGACTGGGAGACTAGTTAGGATCGAGGGAAAGATGAACGGAGCAAAGCACAGAGAGATCCTTGATGAAAACCTGCTCCAGAGCGCTCAGGAACTCAGACTGGGGCGAAGGTTCACCTTCCAACAGGACAACGACCCTAAGCACACAGCCAAGACAATGCAGCAGTGGCTTCAGGACAAGTCTCTGAATATCCTTGAGCGGCCCAGCAAGATTATCTCTGGAGAGACCTGAAAATAACTGTGCAGCGATGCTCCCCATCCAACCTGACAGAGCTTGAGAGGATCTGCAGAGAAGAATGGGAGAAACTCCTCAAATACAGGTGTGCCAAGCTTGTAGCGTCATACCCAAGAAGACTCGAGGCTGTAATCGCTGCCAAAGGTGCTTCAACAAAGTACTAAGTAAAGGGTCTGAATACTTATATAAATGTGATATTTTTATTTGTAATACATTTGCAAAAATGTCTAAAAACCTGCTTTTGCTTTGTCATTATAGGGTATTGTGTGATTGGGGGATTTTTTTTTTTTTTTAAATCCATTTGAGATAAGGTCTGTAATGTAACAAAATGTGGAAAAAGGAAAGGGGTCTGAATACTTTCCGAATGCACTGTACATGTAGATCAGCACTCGCTTTGTGGATACGGGCCCACGTGTTGTGCTTCTCTCCGTCTCCTTTTTTAAATTGGGAAACCTGTGAGAGACTTTAACATTTCTCCCTGTACTTTAGAATCACTATCCTAGACAGCCCACCATTACTCTGAATGTGTCTCTGCAGTAAACTTAATTAACTCCCCCGAACCGCTACACTGTGACTTGGGGCCAGATTAAATCACCACACCACAGTGCTTGCAAATTAGAAACACTGACTCTGAGAGCACACTGAGTCCCTATGGAGAATGGCCCAGGGCCAGTGCACTCACAAGGTCAATCTCCAATCAGGAGATGGGTTAAAAGGTCCCAGGACTTAGATACATCAACAACTCTGGTGTCTAATCAAACCACTGGCCCACCTCATCCATGCACTGACTGGGATGTATAAGTCGATTTCTAGGGAAACCTCTATAGGCAATTATATCATGTGTGATGGTGTCAGAGATGGTGTTAGCCTATATGAGGTGAGGGGAAAGGTAATTGGAAAGGATCTTTGTGATCGGTTATGATTGGTGGTGAATGATTGATTGGTTCTAGCTTTGCTAAATGTATCCATTCAATGCAACCTTTCACGTTAATTTGTCTACGATGGAAATATTTGTATTTAAATGGTAATTCCGCCATTTGGAATAGCCTTCACTTCCACCTGTTATCGCTCTCTTAAATAATTTATTTTTACTCTTTCTGTCTTTAGGTCAGTTGGCAGCGGGTACGTGTGAGATTGTCACTCTGGACCGGGACAGCAGTCAGCCACGGCGGACCATAGCACGACAGACGGCGAGGTGTGCCTGCAAAAAGGGTCAGATTGCAGGTACCACGAGAGCCAGACCGGCTTGTGTAGACGGTAAGAGCCAAGATCCACCTCCATCCTTCACTTTCAGAGAGAACCCCCGAAGCATGGGGGTTGAGGGGCTTAAAGAGCTTCCCTCAAGGGCCTCTTTGGGCCACCACCCCCTGTGCATCTATGACCATTTCATGATGTTGTGGATTACTCCGTTATCTCTGTTAAGGTGGTTTAGGCATGTCGTAAGGGAATGGAGTGTTGCATTGCATTTCATCACCTGCTGTCCTTGTCCTGGTTGCCATCTGGGGAGAATTGTAAAGCAGCTGCTGTATGCACATTGAATTGTCTCTCTCTGTGGGGATTGCTTTGTGCTTATATTACTTTCTATGCTTCAGAGGGTACGCTTGGATGTTTTATCAATTTGAAATACGTTCTCTCCCTTTGTGCGATACTAACAAAGACTATTGACAAAAGCCCTCATGGATCAAAAAGTTCTTAACTTATAAAGGCTGAAATTTACATTTTGCAGGGATTTGTATCCTTTCTATAATGTTACCTGGCACCAAAGTGATTATTTTAGGCACCGTCGACATTGTTTTGGCATTTTGTGAATGCTCCTGATCGCTGTGACCTGTTTTTCCAGCTTTACTGTTGACAACTTGCCTTTGACACTCTTCCTGCTGCAGTTGTTGCTATGATACCTGAGTGAAGCACATAGCACAACATCCTAATGACAGGTTTAACGCCTGAGGTGGCTGGTGGTTGTCATTGTATTTAAAAAGATGTTGGCAATACATCTTGGGTGACCTTTACTTACCTAGAGCATGCCACATCTTTGCAGGCTTGGTATTTATGTCAGGTCGCATCTTAGCTCGGTCACTCACTTTCTTTTGTTGGTTTGTTCCAAATATACATTTGTGAGCCATAGAGCAGGGTTTACTCCATCAGTGTGGGAAAACAAATTAGATTTAAGTTATTTTTAATCTTCCCTTCAGTTCTCAAGGTCGTCAGACTGCAGTAGCAAATGCTGCAAATGTCTCTTTCCTCTATCCCTATTTCACAGAGGTCACATTTCTAACAGGATAATCCATATATCCATCACAGCTTAAGTCCTCTGCTTCAGCCAAACTGCAAGGATGTGTGCAAAAATATCACAAAAATCAGCAAAATCAGTCATCTTTCATGCAGTGTTGTCTTTTGCTCATAATGAGTTGGATAATATTTAGAAAGGCACAATCAGAGAGTAGATTGCTTCTGCCTTTGTGGAAATTTTGCCATGTAATGGTTTCACCTGTGATTTTGATCTCGTTGAAAGACCCTCAAGGCCTTTTTGAATTACACAAGGAACACCTGCCATTTGCAGTCGCAAATTACTCTCAAATAAATAATGAGTGCAACATTCCTTCAGTGTATGAGTTCAGAAGGAAATAGAGAATTCAGCAGAATCAACAAAAAGCAGTAGTTGGTATACACTCTTAGAAATAAAGATACGCTTAGGGTACAGTATTGTTCCCTGGGTTACAAGAATATTAAAATACACATAATGTACCTTCAGAGGTACAGTACACATAATGATCTCACATGGTACTGTTCAGTGCCTTTTAGGGTACATAAAGAGTATAACAGTACATTTTTCTAACCAATATTTGGAATATATAAAATCACACTCTCACTCTCAAAAAAAGGGGCACCGTTTCAAATCAAGAATGGAAGTTTATTGGTCATGTACACACATTTGCAGATTTTATGACAGCTGCAGCGAAATGCTTATGTTTTTAGCTCCAGCAGTGCAGGAATATCTACCAATACAATAACAATACACACATAATCAACAACAACAAAATAATAACAGAACGAGCAATGTCAGAACGAGCAATGTCAGAACGAGTTCTGGGCGGCTAAATGATTTGGTCAAACAGTAAGTGCATTATCCTCATTATTCCTTTAATGAAAGTGTCTGCCCTGCCGCTGTACCTGTTCCCTCGCTGGGGCCTGCTGCTGTGATGAGCGAGCCACTCTCTTCTCCCCCATGTGTTCGAGAGAAAAATGTGTTCTGATTGTACAACATTTAAAAATTGCGGGAAATAATAATGAATCTCTATTCAACAATTTTGGGGGGTCAACATTCTAGAGTCCCATTTTGACAGTAAAATACAGCCCCCAAATATCTCTAACGGTTGCCCCAGCGTAAGTTTTTTTATACACGTGACGTCAGAATGCACTCACTGTTCCAAAATAGGATTGTTACGCAACAGGACAGTTAACCTCCGCTGCCCTCAAACCAAGACACATGCTGCCTGCTAATTAACTATAGGCTATATTTCAACTTGTCAATTTGAAATTATTTTCTAACAAGTTTGATTTTCTAACAACAGTTTGAGTTGAGGTGTGTTCCGCTTCCTCTTTAATTCACATATAAGTAGCCCATTTCACTTTTGCGGACAATTTATGTTTGAGGCTTTACTGAACCGGACATACTTCTCCCTTTAATGACAGCCCAAGCACCTCCCCAGTGTTTCCTCAGATCAAGTATGCAGACATTTGCGCAGTCTAGCGCAAACCTTTTCACTCTGGCACATTTTCTGGCTGGTGCTCGCATTGCCTTCATTGTTGTTTTCCTTACAAATAATAACTTTGGACATATGTGCGTTCCTATCAAAGTAAGTGCCTTATTTTCTGTATATTGTATTGTCATTACTACTGTAGCATACCATATGTATGTATGTATGTATGTATGTATGTATGTATGTATGTATGTATGTATGTATGTATGGAGCATAATGTATTTACTGTTTTATTCACATTTCAAGTACTGGTGACAAATCATGCATTCCGATTTTTGCATAGAATGTAATACTTTTTTGAAGGTTGTACTGATTATGATGAGCTAATGCTAAGCTAATTGCCAGCTATATGTGGCACCATGTTTGTTGATATTATACAATGCATTCTGGATGTCACTTAAACGTCTGTCAGACGAAAGATGATATAACAAATGAGTTGAGGGATGGTTCACTTATCTTTCAAGTAAACTTCCGGAAGTGAAGGAAGGGAAGTGAATGATGGTAGACGACAACCCTCCCCCCCTTCAACATGCATACTGCAAACAGACCAAACTCATCTTCTCTCCTCTTCTTATCTTTGGTTGACCCGAAAAAACAAACATGGCGGCACGCACAAACTACCCATCATCTGTTTACTTTCGATTTTTAGAAATGTTTTACTCAATTATTTAGATCAATGGTGAGCTCACCTGTGATGTAATGAATTGTAAATAGTAATTTCTATTAGCTAATTCATATTATGGTTTCTGTCAACTGAAAGTTAGCTAAATATGACCGCTTGTGTTACGTCAATATTTCCTCAGTTAGTGCTAGGACTAATGTAGCCTACATTTTCCGGTTTGGATGATTGTGTTATCCTGTCGCCACTTCTGTGAATGTCTGAACATTGCATCCAAAAATAAACTGGTCACATTCAGGACATAATGTTGCAAGGACTGTGTTTGTGCAAAATGTTTATGTGAAGAAAACAGTGTTGCCAGCTCAAATGCAGACTGTTGTGTCAATCGAAACTGGACGTTCTAAATAAGCATTCTAATCACACCGGTTTGCGCGTACGCTGCAGGGACCACTGTAGAATGATCACACGAGTCAAAGAGTTAAGGGGAACACATATGACAGGCACTCATTTGCAATATAGCCTAAGTTATTAGCTTGGCTTTTATAACATATAAGGCTTAAGCAGACAGGCAGACAGACAGACAGAAGGACAGATAACAAGAAGAAGAACAGAGTGACAGCAGAGAAGATGCTGAGACAACACAACAGGGAGGGAAACAAAATAGCTAGAGCAGAGGGCTGCGTTGGGCTGATCAAAGCCCACCGCATCCCGGAAGGAAGAGTAACAATGGTCAACCGTGTTCTCTCTGCGTGTAGCACAGCAGATGTGTTGGTAGAATTTCGGGAGCGTTTTCCTCAGATTTCCTTTATTAAAGTCCCCAGCTACAATAAATGCGGCCTCAGGATATGCGGTTTCCAGTTTGCACAAAGTCCAGTGTACTTCCATGAGAGCCATCACGGCGTCAGCTTGGGGGGGGGGGAGGGGTATACATGGCAGTGACAATAACCAAATAAAATTATCTTGGGAGGTAATGTGGTCGGCATTTGATGGTGAGGTATTGCAGATCGGGAGAACAAAAGGACTTGAGTTCCTGTAAGTTACCACAATCATGAGACATACCCCTCCACCATTGTTTTTCCCAGAGAGTTCTTTTGTCCTGTCTGCGCGATTAACGGAAAAGCCTGCTGGCTGTATGGACGGGGACAATATATCTGGAGAGAGCCATGATTCCGTAAAACAGAGTATGTTACAGTCCCTTGTGTTTCTCTGAAAGGAGATCCTCGCCCTGAGTGTGTCTACTTTCTTGTCTACACTCTTAAAAATAAGGGTACGATATTGTTCCCTGGGGTATAAAAAGGTCAAAATACACAATGTACACTACCATTCAAAAGTTTGGGGTCACTTAGAAATATCCTTGTTTTTGAAAGATAAGCAATTTTCTTGTCCATTAAAATAACATCAAATTGATCAGAAATACAGTGTAGACATTGTTAATGTTGTAAATGGTTATTGTACTTGGAAACTGCCGAATTTTTATGGAATATCTACATAGGCGTACAGAGGCCCATTATCAGCAACCATCAGTCCTGTGTTCCAATGGCACGTTGTGTTTGCTAATCCAAGTTTATCATTTTAAAAGGCTAATTGATCATTAGAAAACCCTTTTGCAACTATGTTAGCACAGCTGAAAACTATTGTGCTGATTAAGGAAGCAATAAAACTGCCCTTCTTGAGACTAGTTGAGTATCTGGAGCATCAGCAATTGTGGGTTCAATTACAGGCTCAAAATGTCCAGAATCAAAGAACCTTCTTCTGAAACTCGTCAGTCTATTCTTGTTCTGAGAAATGAAGGCTATTCCATGCGAGAAATTGACAAGAAACTGAAGATCTCGTACAATTCTGTGTACTACTCCCTTCACAGAATGGATTATAACGCTCTTTAAAAATAATAATAATAAAAAATTAAATAATAATGCTAATACCCTACCATCTAACAATACACTCACAAAACATTAAAAAAAAAAATAATACCATACTCCACTATTTAAATCTAAACAACCTGAAAGGATGGGACACTGCCACTTAACACACCATGTAACTCTTCTGATGTCAAGTCTCTTACACCCAAATACCTCTCTGCAGCTGCCACCACAACGTCAATTTTCTGCGACTTACAGTTGATAACCATTGCTATAAATGGCAAAAATCCAATCTTACTGAAACATACAGTTGAAGTCGGAAGTTTACATACACTTAGGTTGGAGTCATTAAAACTTGTTTTTCAACCACTCCACACATTTCTTGTTAACAAACTATAGTTTTGGCAAGTCGGTTAGGACATCTACTTTGTGCATGACACAAGTAATTTTTCCAACAATTGTTTACAGACAGATTATTTCACTTATAATTCACTGTATCACAATTCCTGTGGGTCAGAAGTTACACTAAGTTGACTGTGCCTTTAAACAGCTTGGAAAATTCCAGAAAATGATGTCATGGCTTTAGAAGCTTCTGATAGGCTAATTTACATAATTTGAGTCAATTGGAGGTGTACCTGTGGATGTATTTCAAGACCTACCTTCAAATGCAGTGCCTCGTTGCTTGACATCATGGGAAAATCTAAAGAAATCAGCCAATACCTTAGAAAAAGAATTGTAGACCTCCACAAGTCTGGTTCATCCTTGGGAGCAATTTCCAAACGCCTGAATGTACCACGTTCATCTGTACAAACAATAGTACGCAAGTATAAACACCACGCAGCCATCATACCGCACAGGAAGGAGACGCGTTCTATCTCCTAGAGATGAACGTACTTTGGTGCGAAAAGTGCAAATCAATCATCAGAACAACAGCAAAGGACCTTGTGAAGATGCTGGAGGAAACAGGTACAAAAGTATC